CTATCTTGGCATCTCAGGGCTTAGTAGTTCAGAACGTGGAGACATTCGACGCTGGGACGACTCAAGCCAACAGTACTCAGGGAGTTCCTGATCCTATTTATTATTAGTTGACACTATTTCTTTATTTTAGAATTGCATCAATTAATTCGTTGTGTGCTGGCCATTTGATGATACTGCCTTAAACCTATTCGATTATATTTCACGTACTACATTCCGTTACTCAATCGTTTACCCCACGTGACTAGACCTAGTATTTGGACATTTGCTTTTCCATTTTATTAGCATTAGTAGTATTAGCTTGCGATCGGGCCATAAGTAACCCCAACCTTTAAATTGACAAAATAACAAAAAAAATAAATAAATAAATAAATAAATAAATAATAATGATAATTTCAATAACGAATTTTCGGTTGGCACTAGTTGATTGTTGATTANTTCTCTTCTCCCCCTCTTCCCCGTCTCTGTGTTCTCCTCTTCCCTCCCCTCCTTCTTTCTCTGTTAATTGATACTACATCAGTATTTATCGTAAAACGTGGTTCAACATTTTCGTTGCTTAGCTGAATGAGTAGGTTTGAATTTTGCTTAATGGAGTGGAATTAGAACAGTGAGTGGAAATAGAGCGCAAATTCAGCGGTTACATCATTAAGAAAAGAACGTAATGGAACCACAATATCAAAACATGAAATGCTGTGAATGTTAGCTGACTCAGCCATGTGAATGAAAATCTTGTTCTGTAAGATTATTTGAGTGGAAAAAATCTTTTGAGATATGAAATTAGTATCACCCCATGAGGCATGCAAATTAGTTTTCCAAGATTTCGTGGCTGCAGATATATGTAGAAATGATCTCTTTTCTACTTAGGTTTTCTGGATTAGAAGACCATAAAATTAAATACCACAAACTCCCTGGCACATAGTACTTTGACTGCTGATATTTTGCCTTCATAAATCATAGTACAAGTAATGTTTTCTTTAGTTCTCTCCAGAAATAATTCTTCTTCTTCCCGTTATTCATTTTTCCTCTGATTTTAAATTCCACAACATTGTACTTGGTTATGCAGGCAAAATCTTGTGCAAATGATGTGTTAGTAATGACTGCTGACTATATGCTTTATTTTTACGCAGGCCGAGCATGTGGTTTCATCATGTTAGACAGAGTCCTGACAACTCAGGACTCACTATTGCGATAAACTATTGTAATAATGACTCGAGCTCTTTCTAGTTTAAATGTTTTGATTTCTAAGGTATATGATCTGAAAGTACTAATTTTACATGACAGGGTATGATATGCGGTTTGATATAAAGTATGCTTACTTTAACTTCCTGCAATCTATACCTCACTCACCACGGAAGGATCCTGCTTCATGTAAAGTGATAAACCTGGAATCGAGTTTCAGTGGATCTGCGTGCAACTCAGGAGATGAATCAGATATAACTGAATCTTTGCCAAATCCTAATAATGTTAGAGATGACAGTGATGGTGAAATGGATGAGCTATGTTATAAACCGGACTGTATTTCAGGGGTTTCACAACTAGGAATCTTTTGAAAGAAACCGAGATAAGAGTTATGCAAGATGCTTTTGTTGTTTTGCCAAATTATGGAAGCGTCGAGGATTTGGAATGCATTAATCTGCTCATGGGGATTTCATTATTCTTTTGTAAATAAATGCAATGACTTTCCCTGTAAGTCAACATTCTGTTGTCTCCTCCTCTGCCTTTCACCCTTTGCTTTGCCGCATGTTTGGTAGGGAAGCACATGCGAGAAGTGGTCGATCTGATTGTCCCAGAAAGGTGTTCTGTCTATAAAAGTGGAGTGCATTTTCGACTTTTACGGTATGATGCTGCTTCCTAAAAACATTGGAAATCGAGAGAGAACATATTTTTAACTGTGTATTGAAACCTCTGCACAAGCCTTCGAGGACATGCTACTGATTATAAGTGCTTCTGGTCTATGCAATACATACTTGAGTTGTGTTTCATTGGGTTTTAATATTGTCTGGGGACAGGCAGACGACTCCAATGCATTAAAATCAACGTAGTTATTGCCTTAGTGTTTTGTATGTTGCTCTATTTGCCTTTATTAAGAAGGGGTAGAAAAAATGCCTCGAGTCAATGTTCGAGGTTTTGTGGGGGATTAGCTTGTGAAGAATCTAGTTATCCATGCCTTGAATGGCAGTTGCTAATGCGATGACTTGAACCCTTAACGATTCGAGTGCCACTAAATCATAAACTAAAACTAATTTAAAGAGTATTCAACACAACCATATAAATTATTAAAGCACTTATCAAAATTCAAATAATGTAATGAGTTTAATAAATTAACTTGAAATGAGAAAAAATCAAATGAAATAACAATAATTTGACCACATAATGATTTCATTATTGAAACTTTTGTCATTGTAAGTCATTTAAGTGTCTACTGTGCGGAATATCAATTATTTGAAAATAGAGACATAAGGGGTGAGAATAATTCTCAATAAGTGTGCGTAGATAACGTATTCTTATATGTATTTTTATGGAAAATTTATAATTTGCATAAGGAGATACGAAAATTAGATCGAACTTATATGGTGCTAAATTCTCGTGCGTAACGCTATTAAACTTTCATCCATTCTGAATAGAACATTGGTAATATAGACCAAAATATAATCGTAGCAATATTACATATATAAATGTTAGTCGCCATAAACATAAAGAACAACTCACTTTTACTGGACAATTCCAGAATGATAGTAAGGGTGATTGATGGATAGCGATTCTTGAGTCACGTGTGAAATTGAGTATTTACGTGTGATTGTATAAGTGTGTGACTATATTTAACATAAAAGACAAAAGAAAAAGTAAAGGTGGAGAGACAAAGTGATAGAGTTAGACAGAAAGAGTGTAAATAGTTTGTGGGGGATAGTCTAATGTTAGATTTGTCTCCTATTTATGGTGTAAATTTTTGAACCATGTGTAGAAAAGTGAAAGGAAATTGCTAGATATTAGGCATGATTAATACATAAATGGTGTATTGTCATGAAAATAGCCAAATAAATATCTTTAATCATGTGGTCAAATCAATTAACTTAATACTTGGCATAAATAATACATGTGGTTAAATCAATTACCTTTATTTACGTGATCAAATAAATTACATTAGCTTGAAACGTGGTGTAAATAAGACATGTGATCAATAAATCATCTTTAATAAAGCCCAATTGGCATATTTACATATGTTTTACACATAATTTTATCTTACTTTCAAAATAACTCTCCACTTAGGTTCTTAAGCTATTGGCTAATAACCAATAAGGTTATTGGACTAGACCAATAACCTATAAAGTCATTAGACTTTAATAATAGTACATTTAAGTAGTAAAAATTCGGAACGTTACAGCTAACCTTCCCCCATCTCTCCTAAACTTCTACCTTCGGCCCGTCCGAGCTGCATGAGGCAGAAACTCGTCCGATGTACGGTTCGTAGGCCAAGTGATTGAACAGGACTTCTCTTTCCAGTGATCATATATATATATATTTGTTTATATATTTATTTTTGAAATATTATCTAGTGCTAACTGTGCTATCTAATGTTTCTGCTGAAATTGCAAGTAGGCTATGCATAATACATAAGCAAGCTGTTATTGGCAGCACAAGCAATCAAGTTCTTTGATGGATGCCAAGCCAGATGCAGCAACTTTGAATTGAAGTCACAGGAAAACTCATCAGTTGTACTTTCACCGTGTCCTGAAAATTTCGTGTAAGTCAGAGATTAGCTAAAATAAACGCTACGGCCATTTAAAAAAAAAATAAAAATAAAAATGGGATGACCTTGTCGGTAAAATCCTCGAGTCAAGTTGCTCAAGGATGATCGTCGAGCTCTTCTAGAAGTTTGGGCTTGCAGCTTCCTAATCAACAACCGTGTATTATCTATTAATTTATCTTAGTTAAAATTAATTTTTCAAGTAAAATAAGTATATAAAATAATTATTTGATATTAAAAAATGAACAAAAATGTTGGGCTAATTTATTTAGATATTTTTAGAAGGCAACAAATTATTCATAGGTTAGATATAGTTTATTACGCAAAAACAAGTTGCGTGTTGAGATGGTAAGTTCATGTTCTAGTTAGTTAAACGTCAAGCGTTCAAATCTTTGGTCCCTAAAATTTCAATGGAGAAAAGTTTTGAAATTTCGTCAATAACACTGCTACTGACCTATTGATCAACCTCTTCATCGGGTCTATGCCCAGGTCGGGTCTGAAAACTATGAATAAATATTGGGTACCTGTACGGATTTTTGCTGGCTTCCATTGTTAGACCTTGGCTCCCAATTCCGTTGGAAAATATGCGCAGACGATTGCTGATAAACAAGAGGGGAACATAATTATAGGGAGTAAAAACATAAGAATGTTGGTAAACAGCACAAATGCATCAGAACTTCCGGTAGAAAGACGAACTTATACGATCCAGTGGCGAAGTGAAGTCCATCTCCACTAAGGCAGCAGTCAAATTTATCGAAAATTGCGTCGTTATTGTACAAATCAAACAACTGTGCAACATAAAAGCATCAGATAAACAGAGAGCTGATAAAAAATTTGTTCATGTTCATTTTTCACTGTCAATAAGGAATAAGAATTAAAAAAACATATTGCGAGTGAGTACTAACCAAAAAAAAAACACGGTATTACTATCAACGATATGCTATACTATTATCGACTCACTATGTGTGAAGCACTACTTCTGTGCATTTTGTAAACACGGTGCTCTCACCTTGGGCCGAAGTTGCTCATGAATCCTATATGTTGCAACCGGACGGGCATCCATGTGCATATCCCACAGCTGAAAAAGAAGGATAACAGGAATATTAAGGTGAAAACAGATGTGGATAATGTAAAACTTTTCTTCGAAGATATGTACATTTGAGTCGAACAGTATATGATCGAAGGAAAATTATGACGTGAAAAACCAAATTGATATTATAGATTTGCTGTTGTATGTCAACCCAAAGAAATGAAAATAACACAATGAACATTTCTGTTTGCATAAGGAACCATTTGGGAAGGATAAATATCCTGACCTCACCAGGGCGTTTTAATGACAGGCCTTGGCAAGGGAAGTTAGAAATTGCTTTCAGAATAAAAAACCAACATTTTCAGAACTACAGTGGTTTGTGAATCGCCTAGTTATGCTCAAGCAAGAAGACAGAGAATGTATTACGAGAAGCAAAATATGCAATATCAATCCCCTAACTAGGAAAAGTAATTCTTTAAAATGATTTGGGTAGTTCAGAAACCTTTAGATTCATATAATCACGACTTAATATATGTCTTCCATCGTTTGCAAAATTCAAATCTGATATTGATGCAATGATCTCAGTGAAGAACGATTTTGGCCCATGGGATTCCACATCTTTCCATCTACAAAATCACCATTAGATGTTATGGCTAGTCACAATGGCAAAAGACATATAGATGATAGAGAAAAAGCTCACATCATTGCATTGTGATCACAGAGTGCTGATTGTCTCATGTCTACAACCCGAATAAATCCTCTTGAACTGCTGTAAGCGAGCAGATTACAGTGAAATGGATGGAATTCGGCTGCTGTAATTACCTCTAGATAGAATTTCAAGAAGATCCCATCATTTCTTTCGCTTTTTATAAAAGATATCAGAAAGCTATACTAATTATTATAAAAGTTTTTGAGTTGTTTCTCCACTGTTTGGATATGCATTATTGTGTGTCTGTGTGTTTTGGGCATCTCAATGTATGTGTGCCAGACATTTATTTGTTTAAGAAGGGCTCTTTTGAACTGTTTTAATAGTTATACTCTTCTGTAGAACATTTCAGATTGGGAAAGGAGACTAGAGGGGGATGAGAAGAGAAGAAACATGACAAGTAAAATGTGAACGAGTAATGGAACTTGCAGCCACAATTGTATGTCGAAAATCACCTGTAAGATCTTCCATACTTTCAGGCTTTGTGTCAATGATATTGAAACACTGATTGCTGACCTCTAGATTCCACAAATTAATTCTTAGGTCGTCTCCAGAAAGAAATGTCTCACCGTCACTGCAGAACCATCATATCATAATTATCAGCCGTTCAACCCTTTTGTACAGTCAAATTCTTGTTGCTTCAACTTTAAATAATGTAGTCTATAGTATTATCAACTTGCGAAATGTCAAAAGCACCGCAAAGAAATTTAAGGAGCACCATTACATCAATTTCAACCGGGAGATAGAATCAACAAACAAGCAAAGAAAAAGCTGCAGATCTTACCTATTCATAGAGATAGAGTTAATATTGAAATCATGAGCATGGGCATACAGTTTTCTACATTTTGCAGGAGTCGCATCTGCAGAACATGGTACCTAGATACACATGAAACCGGCATCATAAACTTAACATCATGATTAAACTCGTTCAATAAAAATGAATTCATGCTCCACAGAACCAGAAGATTTTACAAATTTTACTCTGGAGTCCATTACCTTGTCATGCCTTGAATGGGAAGTCGACATGCTGTTGGCTACATTCTCTGTCCATTCTAAAAAGTAACCATTGGCAAAATTTGGTTTATGTTTCCCGTTAATAAAACTACTTTCTGCCATAAGTGAATTCTCTGAAGATACAAATGGAGAGACATTCATTTCTTTAACTTTCTTCACTTTATGATCCTTGACCTGGTAGCAGGCAGATATAAGCATAAGCATACCAAAAGACTACAAAATCCAGATTGATATTATATTAGATTTGCATAGCAGTAACAAGTCAACCTATATATGCTCTTGCTTGATTAATCTGAAGAAATCTTCTGCGCTACTTTCAATTTTCACATAAGACTACAATTCTCCAGCCATCCTATAATTATTTAAATATATAACCAAGATTACTTTCTTACCGCATTTGGATATTCGTCAGAGTCGGACAGTAAATTGCTAAAACGTGAATGAAGGACGGAAAACAGATTTCATAAAATCCAGTATTGAAAGGCTTAAGCCAATGTTAGACCAATCATTTTAAGACCTAAATCAATTAATTTATATCTGGCTTTAAGGAATTCTACCGAAAAACCTCTGATGCCATGATTGTATTTCAGCAGAAAGACTCCACTTAAGTTCTGTGCTCTTCATCAATATCAGTGAGCACTTCAGCCATTGATCCCCCTCCTTTACCGTTACTTTGAACTAGATTAACAATTTGCCACTACATTTCCAGATTCAAATATGCACAAACAACACACGTTTGGAACTTAAATTTTAACTTCATAATTTATGAACCTGAAATAGTATAATAGGTAGTATATGCCATGTAAACTAATGGAGAAAATAAGAACACAAGTTACTTAACCTACCTGCCAAATCATGTTACATAAAGACGGGAAGAACAATCAGGTGATTTCAGCTTTTGGAAGACTACAAGAGAAATATTCATCACAATGGACAAATTTGTAGCATGCTTATATGATATACAAGTATTAAAATAGGATCTTACCTTCCATAATTTTATAGTTTTATCATTTGCTGAAAGAATAAATAATGATCCATTAGGCGTTGCACACCACTGCACTTCGTTGATCTTCTCTTCAATTTCAGTGCTCTTCAAATAATCAAACTGTCAAAATAGTGCATCATGAGGTTCTGCAACATGAGTGATTTTCCCAAAAAAAATATATTAGCTTACTCAAACAACTAAAACAAGAAACAAATCAACAGTTAAAACCATACCTCTGGCTCATGACTTTGGAATTCAGTTTTATAATGGAATTCAGGATGCTGTGGAACAACAAGATCCAGTCGCTCTAACTCACTCCGAGAAGTGTGATCAAGTAAATCCTACAATACCAAGGGAGTGAAATTTCCATGCCACTCTCAATGTAAAAATACTTTTGCAGAAGTAAACTTGTTATAATGCCCACATAATCATCATTTACCAATCTGCATAATAATACTCAATTCACAACTCACTGTAGATCTCTTTCTTTTTTTTTTAACAACGCGAGGCATCATATTAAGAACATGCAAGTCAAAATTACAATTAAGTTACTTATTCTACCAAACAATGAGTGAACTTTCCATCTCGCTCTCAATGTAAAAAAATACTTTTACAAAAGTACACTTGTTATAATGCCACATTATCATCGCTCACCAATCTGCAATTATACTATTTAATTGACAATTCATTGAAGTTTTCTTTCTTTTTTTCTTTAAAAACGCGAGAAGATCAAAATTACTTTTAAGTTACTTTTTTTTTCCCCTCCAAACATGCTCTAAATGCACTAGAAGATTGATGCTGGCTAAAAATGTAAGAAATTCAGGAAAAAAGAAAACATGTGATTCGCACATGGTTACCAGCCTTGTTCTCAAAAATCACAACGCGTCCACCTCGATCTCCTACAGCTAGGAAATCCCCCTTCTTATCAAATTCAACAGCAGATATGATATCAACTACACGAACAAACAAAACATACTCACAATTTCAAAAACCAACCAAAAAAAAAATATATATAGTTTATACAAAAACATAGGGCAGAGTTGAGAAAATTACTATCTTGTACATCTTCACCGGGGAGGTTTTCACCGAAGATTTGAGAGAACTTCCACTCCAATGTTGAAGGAGAAGAAGAGTCTGAACTCAAAGCCATGTCTTGCTATTCAATTCAACTGAAGCTCAACGTAAACATGGTGTAAACCACAGCGTTTTGGTATGTAACATCATCTCAAACTGCAATTTTGTGTGTGAGATACAGAGATGAGGCTTTCAGTTATCCACTCAAATTTCCCGGAAAAAAACAATTCAGTTGATATTTTATTTTTATTTTTTTATCCTACTAAAAGATTTTAAATTGGTCAACACCTACAAAAAGAAGTTTTACTTTTATAGCCTTTGTTTGAGCTTCCAAGGTTTAAAATTTGTTTTTTTTTTTCTATTTTCAATTATATATTCTATTAATAATTTTATACTTAGATTAAGGGCCTATTTGGGAGCGATTTTTTCATCAAAAAAATTTATTTTTTTGATCGTTATTTCACTATTTCAGCCATCATATTTGACTTCTTCTCTTACAGGTGGAACCCACTTTTTTCCTAACGATCAAAAAATCAATTCTCAAAATCACTTCCAAACAAACAATAAGAAATTTTCTTTATTTTTTAACCACACATTATCTGAAAAATCACCTTTTTAACTATACAATTACTATTCCCAAAACATGGGACTCAAATAAGATTTTAAAATGGTTGCAAATAGGATGTACGATTTCAACTTTAATAATCTGTCTCCTCTCAACTTCGAATTGTCGTGTCATAAAGGCAATGGTTATACTAAATTTTTTGAAGAAAAAAATTATTAATAGAAATAATGTCAATTTTTTTAATAATAAAAATGGGGATAATTTTTTTTTCTCCTCTCACAAGCTTATTACCATGAAATTAGCCACTTCAAAATGAACGAAGTGGATTGAGTCATTTAGGCGAGCAGCAAAGCAGCCCAAAAAAAGTTTGGCAGTGAGCCGAGCAATTGGTTGGCTAACCTTTGAATTCAGACATGTATGAGACTCCAACTTGTGCGAACTAAATGAACAATGATTCTCTAGGAGACACTCAAATAAGATTTTAAAATGGTTGCAAATAGGATGTACGATTTCAACTTTAATAATCTGTCTCCTCTCAACTTCGAATTGTCGTGTCATAAAGGCAATGGTTATACTAAATTTTTTGAAGAAAAAAATTATTAATAGAAATAATGTCAATTTTTTTAATAATAAAAATGGGGATAATTTTTTTTTCTCCTCTCACAAGCTTATTACCATGAAATTAGCCACTTCAAAATGAACGAAGTGGATTGAGTCATTTAGGCGAGCAGCAAAGCAGCCCAAAAAAAGTTTGGCAGTGAGCCGAGCAATTGGTTGGCTAACCTTTGAATTCAGACATGTATGAGACTCCAACTTGTACGAACCAAATGAACAATGATTCTCTAGGAGACCTGTAAATTTCATCCACTTTGAAATATTGTAGAATAGTGCACATCGAGTTGAACCTATCTCACTAAAAAATTTAAGCCGACCCAATCTCTTTTCATTTGTTCTGAATATTATCGAAGGTTGCGGTCACCCTAATAGGGGGCTGCCATGTCATCAAGGAACAAGTCAAAATCCTCTGTTGTCTCCTCCTCTGCCTTTCACCCTTTGCTTTGCCGCATGTTTGGTAGGGAAGCACATGCGAGAAGTGGTCGATCTGATTGTCCCAGAAAGGTGTTCTGTCTATAAAAGTGGAGTGCATTTTCGACTTTTACGGTATGATGCTGCTTCCTAAAAACATTGGAAATCGAGAGAGAACATATTTTTAACTGTGTATTGAAACCTCTGCACAAGCCTTCGAGGACATGCTACTGATTATAAGTGCTTCTGGTCTATGCAATACATACTTGAGTTGTGTTTCATTGGGTTTTAATATTGTCTGGGGACAGGCAGACGACTCCAATGCATTAAAATCAACGTAGTTATTGCCTTAGTGTTTTGTATGTTGCTCTATTTGCCTTTATTAAGAAGGGGTAGAAAAAATGCCTCGAGTCAATGTTCGAGGTTTTGTGGGGGATTAGCTTGTGAAGAATCTAGTTATCCATGCCTTGAATGGCAGTTGCTAATGCGATGACTTGAACCCTTAACGATTCGAGTGCCACTAAATCATAAACTAAAACTAATTTAAAGAGTATTCAACACAACCATATAAATTATTAAAGCACTTATCAAAATTCAAATAATGTAATGAGTTTAATAAATTAACTTGAAATGAGAAAAAATCAAATGAAATAACAATAATTTGACCACATAATGATTTCATTATTGAAACTTTTGTCATTGTAAGTCATTTAAGTGTCTACTGTGCGGAATATCAATTATTTGAAAATAGAGACATAAGGGGTGAGAATAATTCTCAATAAGTGTGCGTAGATAACGTATTCTTATATGTATTTTTATGGAAAATTTATAATTTGCATAAGGAGATACGAAAATTAGATCGAACTTATATGGTGCTAAATTCTCGTGCGTAACGCTATTAAACTTTCATCCATTCTGAATAGAACATTGGTAATATAGACCAAAATATAATCGTAGCAATATTACATATATAAATGTTAGTCGCCATAAACATAAAGAACAACTCACTTTTACTGGACAATTCCAGAATGATAGTAAGGGTGATTGATGGATAGCGATTCTTGAGTCACGTGTGAAATTGAGTATTTACGTGTGATTGTATAAGTGTGTGACTATATTTAACATAAAAGACAAAAGAAAAAGTAAAGGTGGAGAGACAAAGTGATAGAGTTAGACAGAAAGAGTGTAAATAGTTTGTGGGGGATAGTCTAATGTTAGATTTGTCTCCTATTTATGGTGTAAATTTTTGAACCATGTGTAGAAAAGTGAAAGGAAATTGCTAGATATTAGGCATGATTAATACATAAATGGTGTATTGTCATGAAAATAGCCAAATAAATATCTTTAATCATGTGGTCAAATCAATTAACTTAATACTTGGCATAAATAATACATGTGGTTAAATCAATTACCTTTATTTACGTGATCAAATAAATTACATTAGCTTGAAACGTGGTGTAAATAAGACATGTGATCAATAAATCATCTTTAATAAAGCCCAATTGGCATATTTACATATGTTTTACACATAATTTTATCTTACTTTCAAAATAACTCTCCACTTAGGTTCTTAAGCTATTGGCTAATAACCAATAAGGTTATTGGACTAGACCAATAACCTATAAAGTCATTAGACTTTAATAATAGTACATTTAAGTAGTAAAAATTCGGAACGTTACAGCTAACCTTCCCCCATCTCTCCTAAACTTCTACCTTCGGCCTGTCCGAGCTGCATGAGGCAGAAACTCGTCCGATGTACGGTTCGTAGGCCAAGTGATTGAACAGGACTTCTCTTTCCAGTGATCATATATATATATATTTGTTTATATATTTATTTTTGAAATATTATCTAGTGCTAACTGTGCTATCTAATGTTTCTGCTGAAATTGCAAGTAGGCTATGCATAATACATAAGCAAGCTGTTATTGGCAGCACAAGCAATCAAGTTCTTTGATGGATGCCAAGCCAGATGCAGCAACTTTGAATTGAAGTCACAGGAAAACTCATCAGTTGTACTTTCACCGTGTCCTGAAAATTTCGTGTAAGTCAGAGATTAGCTAAAATAAACGCTACGGCCATTTAAAAAAAAAATAAAAATAAAAATGGGATGACCTTGTCGGTAAAATCCTCGAGTCAAGTTGCTCAAGGATGATCGTCGAGCTCTTCTAGAAGTTTGGGCTTGCAGCTTCCTAATCAACAACCGTGTATTATCTATTAATTTATCTTAGTTAAAATTAATTTTTCAAGTAAAATAAGTATATAAAATAATTATTTGATATTAAAAAATGAACAAAAATGTTGGGCTAATTTATTTAGATATTTTTAGAAGGCAACAAATTATTCATAGGTTAGATATAGTTTATTACGCAAAAACAAGTTGCGTGTTGAGATGGTAAGTTCATGTTCTAGTTAGTTAAACGTCAAGCGTTCAAATCTTTGGTCCCTAAAATTTCAATGGAGAAAAGTTTTGAAATTTCGTCAATAACACTGCTACTGACCTATTGATCAACCTCTTCATCGGGTCTATGCCCAGGTCGGGTCTGAAAACTATGAATAAATATTGGGTACCTGTACGGATTTTTGCTGGCTTCCATTGTTAGACCTTGGCTCCCAATTCCGTTGGAAAATATGCGCAGACGATTGCTGATAAACAAGAGGGGAACATAATTATAGGGAGTAAAAACATAAGAATGTTGGTAAACAGCACAAATGCATCAGAACTTCCGGTAGAAAGACGAACTTATACGATCCAGTGGCGAAGTGAAGTCCATCTCCACTAAGGCAGCAGTCAAATTTATCGAAAATTGCGTCGTTATTGTACAAATCAAACAACTGTGCAACATAAAGGCATCAGATAAACAGAGAGCTGATAAAAAATTTGTTCATGTTCATTTTTCACTGTCAATAAGGAATAAGAATTAAAAAAACATATTGCGAGTGAGTACTAACCAAAAAAAAAACACGGTATTACTATCAACGATATGCTATACTATTATCGACTCACTATGTGTGAAGCACTACTTCTGTGCATTTTGTAAACACGGTGCTCTCACCTTGGGCCGAAGTTGCTCATGAATCCTATATGTTGCAACCGGACGGGCATCCATGTGCATATCCCACAGCTGAAAAAGAAGGATAACAGGAATATTAAGGTGAAAACAGATGTGGATAATGTAAAACTTTTCTTCGAAGATATGTACATTTGAGTCGAACAGTATATGATCGAAGGAAAATTATGACGTGAAAAACCAAATTGATATTATAGATTTGCTGTTGTATGTCAACCCAAAGAAATGAAAATAACACAATGAACATTTCTGTTTGCATAAGGAACCATTTGGGAAGGATAAATATCCTGACCTCACCAGGGCGTTTTAATGACAGGCCTTGGCAAGGGAAGTTAGAAATTGCTTTCAGAATAAAAAACCAACATTTTCAGAACTACAGTGGTTTGTGAATCGCCTAGTTATGCTCAAGCAAGAAGACAGAGAATGTATTACGAGAAGCAAAATATGCAATATCAATCCCCTAACTAGGAAAAGTAATTCTTTAAAATGATTTGGGTAGTTCAGAAACCTTTAGATTCATATAATCACGACTTAATATATGTCTTCCATCGTTTGCAAAATTCAAA